GACACTCTCACCACCCAGAAGACCAGCTGGAGAGGATCAACAGTATATAGTTGGGATCCATGGAGTGGTGATATTTTTTTTAATCTGTCTCTGTCATTCTCTTTCTGTCTCCCCACCTCTTCCCTATTTTCTTCTCTCTCTCTCTCTCTGCCCTCCTCCCCCTCCCCCCATTCACTATCAAATAAAATCCATACTATTGATTTTGGCATATGGTCTCATTTGCACCTTAATTTGGGCAGAGGCATTTTCAATAACTTTAAAAACCAGACCATAACACTCTGTCACTGGTAAGCCACTTGGGCAAGAGCCTTCATTTTCGTAATTCCAAATTTTAGTGCAGTCCAGTCATATATGCAACTCCAAAATACCCCTCATCTGTAAATCTGCCAGTGTGATGCTCATTTACATCACAAGTCTTTCACTCTCGCACCAAGCACTATGTCTTAAGGTGTGCAATATATGCCCAGGTAAACGTATTTACAATCCCAGAGAAGTTAAAAGGATGCTATAGCATGACTGAAATTTCAGGTTGGATGGAAAAACACACAAATAGAAAACCTTGAAGATATGAAGATGCTTCCTTTCACTGCCCATAAAGAAAACCCACTGAACATATATGGTTATGAAGATCTGTTCCTTTGCCCCGTTATGGCCTGAAAGGGCAATAAGCAGAACAGATTTGCTACCTGAAAAAATCTACGATTTGGTATTATGTTTCTAAAATTACAGCATGCAGCCTCTGCATCATACTGCAGGAAAGAAATGCTCCTGCTGTCTTGCAGCCCTAACACTCCACAAATCCCAGGATACCTCAGGCACATGCACATCAGTTCTCCTTGGGTGGACATTCCCAGAGGAATTACACTGCTCAGGACACAGAAGTCAGTCTACCCTGCTCTGCAGAATATTTCCTTAGGAAAAGGATAGTCAGTTTCCCCTAGGAAACCAGGCTAAGAGTTATGGCAACAGGGATTGCAAGGCATACCAGTTTGATATTAGTGTGTAGAGGCTATTAATCTCTCATGGTGGAGATAACTAATACTTTATTAAACACTTCCTTATCAAGATAAAGACTATACTTAAATTCATGTATTTTCCTATACACAATTTCCCACCCATATGTAGTTTCTTCTATAAATCTGAAGGGAAGACTAGGCTGGCAAATTCACTAAGTCAGGCAGCTAACAGTCCCTGGAACAGCCTTGTATACATTAATGTCACACAGACATTTAAGATTCACGTGCTTGTACAGGTATACAACATTTGGCTTCAAAAATATATCTACCCTCTGTGTGTGTCAGGCCCCAACATAGTCTATCCATGATTAAAAAGAAGAGAGACTAACAATGTTTTAATGATAAATGAGACCTGGATCTGTTGTACATCTACAACAGATGTACAACAGATGTACAAACAGTTTAAAATACAAGAAAGTGTATTTCACGTGCTCACCTTTGTGCAGTGATTTTGTTTATTATTTTAACAAGTTAGGCAAAGTGAAACTCATCTCTCTTATTTGTGTATGTGTTGGGGTTTTTTTTTAATCCAAATAAAACAGGCAGTAAACAAATATTGAGACCTAGCAAGGACAGAATATGGGCTTTATTCTACCCATCAATTAGCCTTAAACACCTGTTCTTTGCATAGTCACATCTGTCCTGCACAACACGACCTCCCTCTCCAATTTTCAGACCCCACATATTGCTTTAAGTAGACACAGCCAAGCTTTGACGCTCAGAGATTCTCAAAATGTGAGACATGGTAAAGCAGAATTCCTGAAGGTGTCTCTCTGTTAAGTGACTGGAGAAAAGCTCTTGTTGTAACTGAGACAAGACAGTGAAGTAAGGCTCATAGCTGTTACTCCCATTGACATCACCTTAAAACCATAAAATCATAAAATATTGTGAGTTGGAAGAGACTGTTTAAAGGTCATCTAGTTCAGCCCCAGGAACATCAACTAAATCAGGTTGCTCAGAATCCAGTCCAACCTAACCTTAAATATTTCTAGGGATGAGACATCTACTATCTCTCTAGGCAACTGTTCCAGTTTTTTACCATTTCCAAAGTATAAAAATTTTCTTCCTTCTAGTTAATCTAAATCAACACCCCTTCAGTTTAAAATCATTACCCCTTGTCCTGTAACAGGAGGACCTACTGAAAAGTGTGTCTCTATCTCCCCCATAAGCCCTCTTTAAGAACTGTAAGGTCATGAGGAAGTGTCTCTGGAGCCTTCTTTTCTCCAGGTTGAACAGCTCCAACTCTTTTAGCCTTTCCTCATAGGAGAGGTTTTCCATCTCTCTGATCATTGTTGGGGTCCTCCTCCGGATCTGCTCCAACAGATCCATTCTTTCTTGTGTTTGAGAACTCTAGAACTGGACACAATATCCCAGTGGGGTCTCATGAGAGTGGAGTAGGGGACTGGAATCATCTCCCTCGACCTTTTGGCCTTGGTCTTTTGATTCAGACAAGGACACAGTTTGCTGGGCTGTGAGCACACTCCGTTGGGTCATATTTAGCCTCTTATGCACCAGAACATCCCCAAGTCCTTCTCTGCAAGACTGCTCTCAATTTCTTCATCCTCCAGCTGGTATAGTACTGGCAGTTACCTCAAGCCAGGTGCAGAATCTGGCATTTGAATCTCCAGCTTGTTGAACCTCATGAGGTTCCAATGGGCCCTTTTCTCAAACTTGTCCAGGTACCTCTGGTACTTTAGATGAGCCAACCACTTGATCTGGTGTCACCTGCAAATTTACTGAGGGTGCATTCAGTCCCTTTGTCTATGTCCCTGATAAAGATATTAAGTAGCACTGGCCCCAATATGGACACCTTCCTCAGGGGCCCACATTGGGTCCCCAAGCTGTTGATTACCCTGTGGATGTGACTATCAAACCAATTCCTCCTTCAATGAACAGTCCTCCTCGCCAGTCCATCTCTCCAATTTAGAGAGAGGATGTTGTGGGGAACCATATCCAAGGCCTTAAATAAATCCAGATAGATTTTCCTAAATCCAGGTTAGATCCCTTCCCTTGCCCACTGATGTAATCATTCCATTGTATAAGGTCACTAAGGTTTCTAGATCAGGCAGGACTTTACTGTGCTGGTTGTCTCAGCTCACCTCCCTTTCATGTGCCTTAGCATGGCTTCTAGGAGGAGCTGTTCCATGATCTTCCTAAGCATAGAAGAGAGATGGACAGGTTGGTAGTTCCCAGGATTCTCCCTTCTACCTTTTCCTGAGATGGGTACCATGTATCTCTCTTTCCAGTAACCAGGGTCTTCACCTGACTGCCACAACTTCTTGAATATCATGGAGAGTTGGCTTGGCAATTACATTGGCCAGTTCTTGCAATGCATTTTACTTCAGTCCATGGACTTAAGTAGAATCACGTTCCACAGGTGGCCATGAACCTGATCTTCACTTACAGTGGGAAATGCTCTCCTTGCCTGGTCCCCATCTAATAGTTCATCCACACAAGAGATGTGTGTTCAGTGCTCTTCAGCACACACAGGGCTTTGTTTCTTTGGAAAACTAGGCATTTACTATTTATTTTGTGACAACAATTTGTTTTTATTTCCATCTATAAAGCCCCCCCAAAATGCCACATTGTACAGTAACATCTATATTGATATAATACAAAGGCTCTGTGATGTTTATAAAGCGTTTTAACCTGTATTAGCAAAACTGTTTTGTTAAATTACATTTCCCAACTCATCAGTCCTTTTTATGCTATACCACTTGAAATGCTGCATTAAATGTTTAAAATTATCTTGACAATGGCAATGTAAGGAATGCTGCTACCCATATATTGTTGTCAGAAATAAAAGCTGACAAATACTTAGATCTCTTGAAATTAGAGATTCTAAGTATCAGAGATACAAAGTTTTTAAGTCATTAAATACCATAGGCCATCATAAAAGGAGGATCCAGGCTCTGAAACCCTTGTACTGAATCATTTAAATGTGAATATTAAAGAATGAAAATCCACTATGAAATTACAGGGTTATTTATATAGACTGGCATAAATTCATTTTATGGTATTATGCTTTTAAACATCAAGCAGTATGAACAAATACCTAAAATTGCTACCTAATATAATGATTTGATCAAGTACCTTCAAAACAATAATTATATGAAGAGTGAAATAAGCTTCACAGACTCAGGTATAATCAAAATCACTGTAGTCAGAGAAATTTATCCAAATCAAGGAACATTATTTTAAACACAGGTATGTTTAATTCAAAAGAAGAGTAGAGCACAAATTTTCAACAATCAACAAATAAGCTCAAAAAGCATTTAGAAAAATCGATTCTGCCACTCACTTTGCTTTTTCTGGGCACACCAATTTTCACATTCCAGTCAAAAATCCATTGTATGCCATATGGCTTCCCTATTTTACCTCACTTTGAGAGACAAATTTTCAGAAAATATGTTTCCAAGAAATATATGGCAATTGCATATCAACAGCATTAAATAAAGAGTAGAAAACATAGCAATATATAGATCTCACTTTAAAAACATAGATATATCACTTTACAACAGCAGAAATCACTTTTTTGCAAACCCCTGGTCAGAGTTCTTCCCCTTCATAATTAATTAAGACTAGACAGTTCTCAAGACATTACATCAATAGGAAAACTCTAACTCACCCTTGCATCAATGAAGCACATCATCTGACCTAAAGTGCAATTATTCATCATTAAATCACTTCCAAATGAAACAATACCAACCTTCAAAGACATCTTCATGTAATGAGCTGTTTTTGCTGACTAGTTACAGACTTTCTGTCTAGTAAATAATCTTTTAGGGAGGCTAATGAATATAAGAAATTAAAGGAAAATCCCATCAATATTATTTATGGATTTCTTTTTACGCTCTTTTTCAGTACAAAGATACACAGCATTACAGAATCTTTCAGTATCAATTTCTGTCATCAAACCCACACTGCAGATTTAATCTTAAAAAGATATCTTCTCGATAATAAATGAAGTAAACTTAGTCAGACCTGAAAGATGTTTTCACCAGTGCCTCAGGACTGTCCACTGGCGGTAGTTCATCTGCTAAAATTTCTTCAGGAGGTCTAGGGTCGTTGATAATGGTCAGCTTTGGCCTTTCCTTGTGGTTGCTGGCCAGCCCACCGATAATGGTATTCCATAAGCAGTTTTGTGATTTAGACCCTGAAAAAAAAGAGTGAGAAGGAAAATAAATTCATAGGCTTATTGCCCAGTGTGTCAGAATTCTGAAAAGCAAAGGTGGTCTGCTATCATTTTTCCTTTGCATGACCACAGTTTGGGAATAAGCCTGAAAACCTGAAAACCTGAAAAAAAGTCTGAAGTGGAAATAAGCACCAACATCAGGGTCATTCCAAATGCAAAACTGAAATACTTCCCATAAAAATATTTTATTACAGAACATGAAGCTTTCACACCTCAATAAAAAAAACATCCTCTCCACATCACACTTAGGTTTTAACTTAGTATGTGTTGATGTGGGTCTTTAGCCAAAGAACTGGGAAAAAAATCAAAGTAACATATCAATACAATACTCATCATTGACATTCTTTAGACTAGTTAGTAGTGGTCAAATTATAGGTAAGAGGTCACTGCAGGATTAGTACCAGAAAATATATTTAATTTCTGTCAAACTTCAGCTTTTCACAGTAGATATTCAAATGACAAAATATTTATATGGATTTTTTTTTTTACATTTATTTAGAAGTGCCATCAAGTGGCTCTTGCATGTCATTCAGAGAATTCATGCTTATTTTTAAGTCTAGTTCCACCTACAAAGTACAAGTAGCATCCTTCAATCAGACATCCACCCTGCTGTAGAAGAGAATACATGACTTAAATTTTGTTAAGTGTCTGTTTCGCATTTTCAAATATTTCCAAAGAGTTTTTGAATAAATCAGGCATTTCTGAAAATCCCAGCAATACTCCCATACTGAACACCTCTGTCATATTCTAATTTTCAAGCATTCTAGAATGATACATGACTGAACTAGAAGACCAAATAAGAACAGGTAGGTACTGAAATGCTGATTACTATTTCAGATTTCCCATAACAGAGGTGCAGCAAGCATTAATCTTACCACATTCCAAAACACTAATACAAACCAACTCTGCTAGTAGTCATTCTCCAAGGGCTTTATAGCAATATGTAATTTTTTTTTTTTTTTTTTAATCTGGAAAATGGGGTATCTCTGAAGCCAGCAACTGATTTTAATTAGGAACTATACAGGTAAAATTTTCCAGTATTTTCTCAGGTTTCAGATCAGTTATCCAGTGGACCTAATACATGGATTAAGGGTTACTTTTTGATGCAATACACACTAAATACAAAAGACAAAACCAGCCAGGAGAGCTGTTACCCCATGCCTCAAGAGAATAAATCACAAAAATCTATGCTGTCAGAAGCAGCAGTATTTGCTGCTATGGACAGGAGCCAGCAGCACTTTTTTGCTGATTGTCTTAAATATCTTATTTTCACACAGTCTAAATTTTATAAAGACAGAAGATCAGTAATAATTCTCATCTACTTTCCACATCCCATAATTATGTTCAGAATTATTTTCCAGGTAATCAGGAAAACTTCATATTCTTCTTTGCTCTTGAATTTGAGCAACTACCTAAGGTACAAGAACTATATTTACCCAGAGTTGCAGGTAGCCTTGAGATTCTGTGCCAAGCCTTGTGCTACAATAGCTAGAAACATAACTTCTCACATGGGGTAGTCCAAAGCCAAGTAATGACTACACAGTAACAGCAGAAATAAAAGCAACATCTATACAATATTATTACTCAAGGGCCTGTAATGGTACAGCTGTTCTGTAGATAACTGTTTAGGAAACTTTTCTGTCTAATCATCCAGAACCTATTCACACTCCAGCCATCCAAGACTTTCATTGTTGGGACTGAAGCCCCTTTGCAGAGGACAGCTCCAGTGAATTGATAGCACCTCACTTGACTCACTACTTACATTACAATCACACAGTCAGAGAAGATTTTTCCTCTCCAGCTTGTCCCCAGGTTTCCCATAGCACATCTGGCTCCCATGCTGCTCCACACTATCACAGCTGAATCTGGGTGTCTCCAGGGAGGTATCCCAAAAAAGAAATCCCTGGATTTTTTATCCTTACAGTCTATGCATCCATTTCAATGGTGATATTTATTCTGAAGTCTTCTCATCCTTCACTGGCTCCTGCCAGAGTCTCTGTGTAACTGGCCACTCTGACCATTCTCCCCTCACTAGACTATGGCCCAGGTCCCCATGCCCTTTTTATACAAATGGTCATGTCTTGTTGCCTGGGGCTGTCTATTTCCCCACACCCATGGCACAAGCTGTAACTTGCATGCCAGGCTACCTGCACTAGGTAGAATCCTCAACAGTCTTCACTTTTTTTTATTTAGCATACCTGCTAATACATTAAAAGGGAAAAGAAAAACCTTTCAAGAAAGTTAACCGCTACTCTTACATACAACACTATTACAAGTAACAAATACAGCAAAATAAATGCTAGGATGATTGTCATAGGGCAGAGTACAAGACTACTGATTCTTATGCACAAGTGCTTAAATAATTACCAATACAGAAAAGCATTCTCAGGAGTTAGTTATTGTCCAGCTGGTTGTTTATCCACTACTCATTTGATGTAAGAATGGTGTATCCATTTTTCCTAACCTAAAATTTTAACAGCAAAATAGGAACACCCTGAAACTGTAAGTCCATTTAGAATCATAGAATATCCTGAGTTGGCAGGGATCCATCAGGATCATTGAGTCCAACTCCTGGTGCTGTACAGGACAGTCCCAAGGATTATATCATGTGCCTCAGAGCATTGTTCAAACGCTCTTGAACTCAGAGAGGTCTGGTGCTGTGACTACCTTCCTAGGGAGCCTATTCCAGTGCCCAATCTGTACTTTTTCCTCTGGGTAAAAAACCTTTTCCTGATATCTAACCTAAATCTCCCCAGATTCAGCTTCATGCCATTTCCTCAAGTCCTGTCACTGGTCACAAGAGTGAAGAGATCAGTACCTGCCCTTCCACTTCCTTCATGACGATCTTGAAGACACCAATGAGGTCTCCTCTGTGTTTCCTCTTCTCCAGGGAAAACAAACCAAGTGATCTCAGTCACTTCTCCTAAGGCTTTCTCTCCAGACTTTTCACCTTTCTCGTGGACCTCTCTGATAGCTTAATGTCTTTTTTATATTGCGGTCCCCGAAAATGCACCCAGTACCGAGGCCTCTTTAGAGCACAGTAGAGCAGGACAATCTCTTCCTTTGAAGGGCTGTGCTTAATGGAAACCCCATTAAATCCCATTAAACCCCAACACAGTTGGCCCTCCTTTCCTCTAAAGCACACTGTTGACTCATAGTCAACTGGCCATCATCCAAGGTCCCTTTCTGCAGCACTGCTCTCCAAACTTTCATTCTGGTGTACACACAGTCACAGATGCCGTGTGTGAGAGGCTGGAAGGATTGCAGGCTCAAAACATTTCAGGCACATGCCAGGGAAGGGGAAGGTTGGGCCTTGCTTTGATGAGGTGATGGCCTTGCTTCACACACCCCATCCCTGTGGACCTGTATTCCAACCCCATGGTGGCTGGCAATCCCTGGCACACTGGAGGCAGTGTGCTACAACCCACCCCTGGAGTCCAAGTCTCAGCCCAGTGTAGCCAGATGACCAGAAGCCCCACCTTGGGGAAGGGCCCAGTAAAGCCAAAGAGTACTTAACCCAGCACTTGAGGCATGCACATGACTTGACCCTACCTCCTCTTGGAATTTCTCTCAGTGGAATGCTGCTGCAACCAGGACTGGCATCTATATTTGCTCTTTTCTCTATCTTTCCTCTCTCTTTCTTCTTCTTCTAATTCCCTGCTCTCAGAGTTTCTAGTAAAATAAAATCAGATGTGTTTGGAGTTTGCTAAGTTGAATGGACTAAGTTACTGCTTGGTGAAATGTTCTATGTTGATTGAATGCTTTTGCCAAAGTTCTCTGATTTTCTGAGGTTGCCAGTAAAGTTTTTTTGTTTTGACCTCTTGAGAATATCTTGTTGGTATATCTCCACACATCTAACTCCAAGTACTTAAAAAGAAGCAAGCACTTTTAAGTGGCTTATCAAGCCAGTTTTAGAGGCCTTACACCATGCCCCAGGTGCAGAATCCAGCATTTGACTGGTTAAAATTTATATGGTTGCTGATTGCTCAACCCTTGAATTTTTCGAGATCTCTCTGCAGAACCTCTCTGCCCACAAGGGAGTCGACAGCTCCTCCCAGTTTAGGGGCAACAGCAAACTAACTTAATATTCCCTCAAGTCCTGCATCCGAGTCCTTAATGAAGAAAACTGGGCTGAGGATTGAGCCCTGCAAAACCCCACTAGAGAGGTCATTAGCTTGATGTTACTCCATTCCCTGTAACTCTTTGTGTCTGACCTGTGAGCCAGTTTCTCATCCATTGTGTAACATGATTATTCTGTCGCACGCTAGACATTTTGTTGAGAAGGATCCTGTGAGAGACAGTATCAAAAGGATTGCTGAAATCCAAACAGATTACATCCACTGGCTTTCCAAGATGAACTCAGTGGGTTACCCGGTCGTAGAAGGAAATCATATTCAACAAGCAGGACTTTTCACTCACAAAACTATGCTTGGCTGTGACCAATCACTGCATTTCCTCCAGTGTTTCAATAATTCTCAGAATAATCTTTTTCATTATTTTACTAGGCACTGAAGTGAGACTGGCAGGCCTGTAGTTTCCAGGGTCCTCCTTCTTGCTCTTCTTGAAAATTGGGACAACATTTGCTAGCTTCCAGTCAGTTGAGGCCTCTTCAGATTCCTAAGACTGCTCAAAAATCATCAGAATAGGTTTTGCAATTACATCAGCTAGACCTTTGAGGATTCTTGGATGAAAGTCCCATAGATTTTGAGGGATCTAGCTGAAGAAGCAGATCCTACACAAATTCAGGTTCAACTGGGTCTTGATCATTCTCACAGCAATGGTCCTCCAGCTGAGGGCACTGAGACCCCCCTTGGTCCACCATCCATGTTGAAGACAGAGGCAAAGAATGCATTAAATGCCTCTCCCTTTTCTATGTCACTGTGAGATGACCATCCTCATCCTGCAATGGGGCAATGTTATTTCTGCACTGCCTTTTGCCAATAATATAGTTTTTTGAACTC